CTATTCATCTCAGTTATCAATTTAATTTGTTTGTTGTATTATCGTTTCATATAACAATAATTTGACTAATTTGGTAGACAATTTTTCATCAACTTGCTGTTGAATATCGTCAGAAAAATCTTCAAAAGCGATCAAAAAAAGGTCGATAAAAACCAATAATAAAGATCTGCAACAAGCACATAGAAAAATTCGTAAGATCCGCTAGTTCGTTCCGTGGCTTAGTTGGCATAGCGTCTGGCACGGTTTGCTGGAAGACGTTGGTTCGAATTCAGCCGGATCGAAAGAATTTTTTCTAAGTGTTTGATCTTTGCATTAATAATTATTACAAACTAGTGGACTAATTTCACAAAAACAATTGAATGTCATGGTGGTTAAATATCGTGATATTCAATAAACTTAAAAATTAGAAACATATTTATTAATACAAAGATCGAACACTCAGAAAAAATCCTTCGATCCGGTCGGATACGAACCGACGTCTTCTTGCATACCGTGCCAGACGCTATACCAACTAAGCCACGGAACGAACCAACGGACCTCACGAATTCTTTCTATGTGCTTGCGTCGTGTCTTTGTACTTGGTCTTTCAACGACTTTTTAGTCGTAGCGCCATCTATGAGAAATCTATGACAGATTTATCAACCAGTTAGTACCTTTACAGCTACCAGTCCTGGCGAGAGATGTCGCTATTCACTGTATTAATTAAATTTTTATTGAACACTCTTCAACCTTTTTTCTGAGTGTTCGATCTTTGTATTAATAATTATAACAAACTAGTGGAGTAATTTCACAAACAATAATTGAATATCAATTCAATAAAAATTTAATTAATAGAAACATATTTCTTATATTTTTCATAGCACTACTTTTTTTATTGGTTTTTGTCATTGACTGGACAAGAAGAAATGGCCGCCATTAAGGAAATAATAATAATAAATGGTAGGTAAACGTAGAGATTATAACGACAAATAACAAACAATATATAATTTATTTTTTATTACAAAAAGGCAGTTTTTAGCAAAAACTTTAAAACTAACAACAATAAGCATCTATCGACAGTAATATTACATATGTGTCGCACATGAAGCGAATACTGTCGTAACTCGAAAATGATGGAATTAAGAAAATACAATTTGAATAAAAAGAAATACATAATGGCTCTTATTGAGAATAATGTGATTATTTTTATATATTTATCGGTTCATTGTGTAATTTTTTGAATCTTCAAATCGTGTTTTCTCAATTCCACAATTTTGAATTGGGACAGTATTTAGTTTCATGTGAGAATTACAATGACGAGAGGTCGGAATAAAAATTCCAAAAATAATATATATATAGAGTAATAACACTCTCAGTGCCATAGAACAAACGATTTTTCTGAAGTAGCAGGCCATGTGGGCGGCACGCGGGACACGCATTTTTTTTGGCAGCCCTCCACGTATATAAAAAAACTTTTTTTTCTCATTTCTGGAATTAATTTCTTTTTGTTATGTGTATGGAAATAAATGGTTTAGTGTAAATTCAAAATAGTAGTAAATACTCATTGGCGGCTAGCCAATAACACGCACACAATAACATTGACAATAAATAATATTGCTTGTGTGCAGGCGATATTGTTGTGTTGGGATTCAGTAATTGAAGAAATACATTTGAGTATTGTGTCAAAATTGGTGGTTTTACTTATTTACTGTTAGTAACATTTCCTTCCTTTTATCTTTTACAATTATTTACGATATATCGAAAATATCGATGTTTTGTACCGATATATTGCAAAACATCGATAGAATATTTCGATATATCAATCGGAAAATAATATCCATTTTTTTTACATGAGCGCCACTAAGTCGACGGTCCACACGGCTTGCTAGTTAACATTAGAAGATAGTGTCTGTGCCTGCTGCAGTTTTGTGAGCTGCGGGCGGCTCACGCGGCGCTGTGAGTGTTAATAAATTCCTCCAAATTATTAGTGCCATAGTTGGAAGACTCAGGGTCGTATTCCAGAACTCTACTCAATACTCAAGTCAGGACTTGAGTATTGCAGTGAGCACTGAAAATCATACTCAAGTCCTTGCCATTAGGGTCGTATTTCCAGTGCTTGAAATCATACTCAAGTCTGCTCAAATCCTGACTGGAGCATTGAGTAGAGTTCTAGAATACGACCCTAAGTGTCTATACTATTACGAGCTTTGTCTATTTAAACCATCGAGGAGTATATAACCAAAAATAGAGACGAAGTAAGGGCCATCCATCCCTGGCAACTCATCAGTCAACTGGGCCTTATCACTTTTAAATATCAACTCTCGTTAGTGTTGAAATCACAAATTAGACAGCTGAAATAGTACAGCCCCAACAACTGACCTGAGTTTACATCTCCGTATATTCCAAAAATATTCTGTATTTATAGTAATAAAGATAATATATCTAACCATGTAGGGCTGTTCCATTCGGTGGTCTGGGGAAAACAGCAAAACATGTAATTACAAAACAAACGGAATCACATATCATCGGTAATTAAATATTAAATTATGTAATTTTTCAATTTTCACCCACCCATGATAGCAAAGCTACCCACGATAGCAAAGCTTAAGTTAAACTGGTGGTTTGAAGTGAAACAATTGACGACACCCGTCAAGTGTTTCGAATTTGGGCTGACCAATCGGAGCGCAGTTGTCACCGTATTAAATGACATTTCGTCTCTATTTCTAGTTATATACTCGATGATTTAAGCTCGGAGGCAAAATGCTTATATTCGCTATTGTATATGACTAAACTTAATCTATCTACGAAATTCTAAACGACTCGTTTAAATATAACCTATAAATTTGTAAATTGCTTACTACAAAATGAATGACTTATATTTAATGCTACAGCGGCGTACCTTTTTGTTTTACATAATATTATATTTATAAAATAATCTTAATTACGATTGTTCGTTGTATACAGTACCTCGTAAAAATGTTCGTTATGGTATTTTAAATAAAATTCATTTTGTGTAAGTTAAAAATTGTAAATTTTAAAATGGCGTCGATTTGAAGCAACATTGAGGGTTTTCAAATTAGACGCATAAGGGTATGTTCACATGGCAAGCGTTCAACGCGCGTTAGGTTTTTGAATAATGTACACATGGCGCTTTTCGAGCGTTCCACTGTTTCAGTGCAAGCTCGTCATTAGTCGAAGATGAACGTGGAAACAAACAGCTACGTGTTTTTGGATTTTATGTCGAAGACTGAGACAGCAACACAATATGAGACGGAAATATTGGGACCATCCTATTTTATTATCCAAACTCAGTGAAAGTCACTTCATAATTTTGTATTCTAAACTCACCTATATGAACCCAAATTTATCTCATCATCACATCACAGAATATAAGAGCAAGTTCTTCCCAGGCCTATCTCCTTAAAATTTGATTCGACTAATCCTTACTAATCATATTCCATATTACAGGACGTTTCTCAACTTCGTCTGTGAATAAATCCGTATTAAAATCTTCTGTACCCAATTGTAGAAAAAAACTCAATTTCAATTGCAAACCACGTCTCACCGCGTCGAAAACGCGCGCACATGTGAACGGCAGTACGGTAAACCTATGGTCTCAAAGCGCCTTCAACGCGCGGTGACAAGTGCCCGGCGTTAGCGCGACGTTGAGCATGATGCATGTGAACACTTTCAGCGATTTACGTACAAAATTCCGTAAGTGATAAGCGCGCGATAGCGAAACGCCCGTTGAACGCTCATCATGTGAACATGCTCTAATAGAAACGCTGCAGCCGCGCGACTATTAATTTTCATACAATATTTTAGAAGCGCAGTTGCAGCATTACGGTCGTGACCAGGGTTGTTGCAAATATCTGCATAAATTAAAATATCCGCACAGTATAATCGAGTCGTGACATAACCTAGATTCGAATCCTGTCAGATCGCTCTTTGTGTTGATCTTTGTAATACAAAATTAGTAATTATAACAAACTAGTGGAGTAATTTCACAAAAATAAATTAATATTCATGGTGACTTATCCGTAGAACAAAGACGTATTTCTCAGAACATTGTATGTTTGTTTTACATTGTTTTTTATGATATGAATGACGGGAACCAACAAGTCGTGCGCCTGATGGTAAGCCACACTCCTGCTCATAGCAGTTGCAGTGCCACTCAGAGCTTTTTAAATTTTTTGAATCGCAAAGATCTTAGGGGCACTGCGACTGCGCCCGTCACCCTGAGACATAAGTTGAAAAGTCCCATGTGTCTGTAATTTCACCAGCACCCTTACCTTTCCACACTGGAATGCAATTCCCGGACGAACTCTTTCACAAGGAGCTCTACTGCTACTCGACCGATGTTCATGTTTATATTTCGCTGTATAATCACATCGGATTCTGTTCTTCGGATGAGTCGAATTGGTAGCAAAACATCTTCTTACTTACTGATAACTATAGAGACTCGAGAATTGAGTTTACTACTCGAATTGACATTAAATAGCTAATTGATTAAAATTATTGTCATTTTTAACCGACTCTACTAACGACTTGGTTTTACAATACAATTCCTTACTTTTACTTAAAACAATTCACAATATGTATTTTATTGAATATTATGATACATTTATAAGCATGTTTTTCATAATTGTATTTTTTGTGAAATAAACTAGTTGTCATTATTATACAAAGATCGTACAAACACAAAGAAAAATATCTTCGATCCGGCTGGACTGGAATAAAGGGGGTTTACTCTCGTTCTCTGTCTGACATTCAACCGAAACAATTACTGTCAAATAAGTAATTCTCAACCAATTAAAAAACGCATGATGCAAATGAAGCTTCGTACTTGAGATTGTCTTTTGACAGTACTTATTTGACAGTAATTGTTTCGGCCGGATGTCCAAATGAGAGCAGACTTTTTGAGATTTTTCTTTGTGTTTGTACGTTCTTTGTATAAATGATAACAACTAGTTTATTTCACAGAAAATATAATTATCATTATCATGGTTGTAAAGCAGTTCACAGTATTACTCATATTTAACTCAGAATTTAAAAAGAAACCCGAATTATTAGTTTATACTTGAGTACAAAAAATAAATATGAAAAAGCCTTTTGTTCTATTCTTACATAATTATTAAAAAAATATTGAAAAATCATGAAATCTTTGAATAGGCACTAAACGGAAAATGCGTAACAGCCTAAGTGCATTGGCGCACTACATCCGACTCGTATTCGTCCTGAATACGAGACTATACAAATCTAGAAAACTCCGACCCATTTCGGATGCCGCTTGTGCACTAAGTCCGATTCTATTCCGAGAAAATACAAATATCGCTTGTTCACCTAGGGATAAAATGATCCATGTGACTTCGGACCGTCATTTCTCGGATTAGAAACTGAAATCGAACGTAGTTCACAAACAATCTTAGAGCGATGCCACACGGGCGATGCGACGCCTGGGCGGTAACAAAAAAGAGATGGAGTATCTCCACCATTCACTTTCGGCAAATATCTCTAAATAGTTGAGATTTCGAAAAACTAATTATTTATTATCAGTATTTAAGTAAAATACCCTATATAGACCAAGTAGGGCAACTCCCGCGGGCTTGACGCATCTATGCCTACACTCGGAGCTAGGGTTGTCACATAATTATTTTAGTTGTGCCTACATGTAAACATAATTTGAAAAATAAAAGATGTTAATAACAATTATCTCGTGTTATATGGACATAACCGTTTGTTAAATGCAGCACTTGCGGATTGTTATTTTTATACCAATATACTCTTGTTCAAACAACCTTAAACACATCTAATATTTAATGTCGTTTTTTAAACACCAACCATCAATAATGAATGGCGCGCGACTTAAGGAAAAGTATAGTCTAGAAAGGGTTGCAACCCTAACGAGCCGTGATGTTCACGGCAATAAAATAAGAAAACTTCAGGTTCACAGAAATTTATTGTAAGTTGATGGTAAAGAAAAGAAAAAGGAAAGACTGTAAAAAAAAACAAGTAAATTCGGTTTATTACAGATTGGTATTGAAATTGGCACATGATTAGTAGTAGCATTTACAAATCGGTATTAAAACTCGGTAAAGGAATCAAAATTAGACGTAATTGAAATTTTGACTGCACTGTACCCTGCCGCGATCGAACAGGAAGTGACGGTGGAGCGAAACAAAAACAGAACGGCGAGGCAAAGAATTAAAGAATGATTCAAAATTTAAAAATGGCTAGGAACCGGAGAAAAGGCGATAAAAGTTGGGATAACTATGGAAGAAGGTCACATCGTCACAATCTGAAGTCTGGTACAAGAATAACCTAAAGTATTACTACTTATATACTAATTGAAGTAACAACGAACATGCTAAAAGTTGCAATTCGACAATTTAATAAATAAAGTTACGCAAGGTACAAACTTTAATTAATCTAGGTAAAACAACTATTGGGGATGCCAAGGCAACATCCTTAACTCGCGCGACGACCCTGGCTTTGCAACGTGAATGACTCGCGAGATTATGCGAATGTATGCGTCCGTACATACATACAAGCCGTGCAGCTACGTTTGTCTCGAGTTACTCTACTTGGTCTTATTCAACTATGCTATTACATGCCTATTACTGTATCTTGAGTTGTTACCATGTTTATAACTATCTAATGCTTTTATTTTCCTTGTATACTATTAACATAAAGTTTTACAACGCACCATTTAAATAAAAAAACCGAAAGAAAGGAACGGCGCTTCAACGCGTATAAAATTGAAATTAAAATATATACGTATACGATAGGATTTGCAATGTGTTTCTTTATGATACTAAGTGACTGGACGAACAGGTCATACGTGTTAAGTAACACGCCTGTCCGTAGCAGTTCCAGTGCCACTCAGAGCTTTAAATCGCAAAGACCGAAGGGATCCACTGCAACTAGAACGCAGTTATGCTCACCTTCAAGGAGCTCTTCTGCTACTAAGTTTCTTTTACCAGTACTTTGTAATTTCTACCGTATACACATGAGTTTAGTACTCGATTTTGGGTACGCTGACACGCTTCTAACTCTAACCTACTTCGGCCCCCGGTTTCACACCCACAAAGAGCAGTGAAGGGCTTTACAAATGCTGCCTGAACATAGCGGTGATTTCTTCTACAGTCTTGTTCTTCGTTTCTGGCACTTTGAAATAGATGAATATAATGAAAAGGAGCTGCAGCACAGCGAATATGATGAACGTGTTAGATTTAAGAATTACCTGAAACAAACAAAAATAAATTCGGTGTAAAAAAAAATTATAAATAGAGATAAATAAGCAAAATAAGCAGCTGTTACATACATATTTTGAAACTTTATATTCTGGAATAAGTTTAGCAACATTGGCTATCAGTAAACCGTCTATGGTCGGGGCAGTGACTTATTTGTTTACCTTTTGTTTCAATTGGTTTGAAACGGGGTATAGTTTACTACTTACCGATAATGGCAAAAAGCTGAGACCCACGATGAAATTGGCTGTCCAGTTAACAGTAACAGCTACGGACGAGGCTGCTGGGCGCGCTGATTGGTTGAACAGCTCTGTAATAAAAAAAGTGTAATAAGTGTTTGTTAAGATTTTGCGCGGGGAAGAAAAACTTGTCGTTCAAGCTGTTGTGTGCGGTTATCGAAAATATTTGGATTCCAAGTACTGCTGTGTTTATCAGCGCTTTTCCCTTAAATTGTAATATTAACAACCAGCCAAATCATTGCGGTGATAACTGCGCTCCGATTGGCCAGCCCAAATTCGAAACAATTGACGGGTGTCGTCAATTATTTCACTTCAAATTGACCAGTTTAACTTGAGTTTTGCTATAATGGACGAAAATTGAAAAATTACAAATTTAATATTTAATTACCGACTAAATGTGATTCCTTTTGTAATTAGATGTTTTGCTGTTTTTCCCACACCACCGAATAGAACAGCACGGCATTGTTAGAGATATTATCTTTATTACAATAAATACAGAATATTTTTGAAAAATACGGAAACGTACACACTGGTTAGTTGTTGGCGCTGTAATATTTCAGCTTTCCAATTTGTGATATCAGTGCAAACGAGAGTTGATATTTAAAAGTGATATAAGGCCCATGTGCGTGATAAGTTGCCCTTATTTCGTCTCTATTTCTGGTTATATACTCGATGTAGCTTGTGCACTAAGTCTGAATCCAGAGAATCCAAAAAAATACGAACATCACTTGTACACCTAGAGATAAAATGATCCCTGTGATATTTCGGTCCGTCATTTCTCGGATTCTAATCCTGGATCTCAAATTGATACTCACCAGTGACGAGGAACCAGGGAATGGAGCCGGGTCCAACAGCGAACATGACCGTGAACAGGATTACCAATGCAATGCACAGGTAAGACACCCAACTGTTTTCCGTCTGAAACCATGCAAATAATTTTGTACATCGCACAAAAGATTTCGCATATATTTTGAGCAAAGGAGCTCAGATACACAACAAATTTCCGTGCATACATCACGACTGTCTCTCGCAGGGGTAGACCGTCATAAACCGAACCGGTTCTGCAAGCCCTAGTTGCCAGCCTTTTAGAGCCCTCTTCTCTCTGAAGAACAAGGGAAATACTTGAAGACGAACACCATTCCACATCTTGCAGATTCGAGGAAGGAACGAATGAACGATGTGTGTCGTCTACATCACTTTGTACAGTACCTATATATGATACGTTCATTCACATCGATGTCTAGCATCGTAATATCGGAAGCGGGCATATCGCACCTTTATTATACCGCAAATGGGACGAATGAAATTTCACATTTCTATTTCGACATTATGATGCGAATGTGGATGGAAGGGTTGTAAGAGGACGTCACAGAAGGACTTACATGGACCAGAGTAAGGTGGTCGTTCCGTGGTCTTTGTGTACCTCTCATGTGGGACAAGAGCGTGAGTTTATGTATATAGGTATGTATGTTTCGGCAACCAAAAGTGCCAACCTTTGCGCAGGGCTCCAACCCGCCTGAATACTCACATAATTCAAAGCGACGCACAGAGACACGGTGCAAGCTAACATTCCGCTGAAACCCGCAAGCAGCAATGTCTTGCGTCCGGCTATCTCCACCAAAAGCAAACTTATGACCGTCATCACAACGTTCATTGCCCCCATGCCTGAAAACAGGGGAATGGTATTTTATTATGTTAATTTCATTACAGTCATAAGAAAACAGTGCCAGGCAATTACGTCCAGCAACAAGATAATCAAGTGAATAACAGCATAACGATAACTCCAGATGCACACCCAGATCAGCCCCCGCAGTATGACGCCGCGATAAAGCTACTACATCCACATTTAGCTGACAAATTCGATTGATAAAACCGCCATTTTAAAATTTAATCACAGTATCGAGCACCGTGACGTAACATTTTTTTCGAATCGCGAGCGCCTCGACCAATGGCTGTAAAAGTATATCGCCGTGCCAAACATGGCCACAACTGACTTTAAAACATTTTGACAGTTTTGCACAGTAATTTTATGAACGTAAAAATTGAGCACGACAAACGAGATAAAAAGAAATAATAAAAAAAAATTATAAAAATATGTATAAATAAATGATTGGAAAAAGTTGAGAATATTTTTAAATAAACAAAATAACGAATGAATCTAGTGCGGTATCTTACCGATTCAGTATTTACAATAAAAAAATTAGTAATCGCGACATAGCTTTATCAACTGAAATAAATATGTCACGAGGAGGTTTATCACACATTGCATGTGATATACTGCCATGCTACGGTCACAGAACCAATTTAGAATAGTTAGTTTCCTAAACTGGTCCTACCGTGGCTCAAATCTTCTTCCTCCTGTTCCTCATTAAAGGAAAGCTAGCTAGGCTACTAGACTAAACTTGGTATACATATAATACCAAGTGATGGGACGAATAAGAACAAGATGGTAAGCGACACGCCTACTCGTAGCAGTTGCAGTGCCACTCAGAGCTTTAAATAGCAAAGACTGGAGGGGCATTGCCACTGCGCCCGTCACCCTGTGATATAATCTGAAAAGACTCGAGTGAAATGGGTAAGGTGGCAGTACTTCCTTGAACGAACTCTTTCACAAGGAGCTCTACTGCTACTAAAAAGTAGAGTACGGTTGAGAGTACGGTTGAGTAAAACTGGTTCAAAATAATATTTCGATTGTCCTATAAATTGGAAAAGGTACTCACCTAATGTAGCATATTGTGAATGCGTTTCGTCTAGATTGGCTGATTTGAAGATTTTCGTGGAAAAGAATATGACGATGTTTATTCCGGAGAGCTGTTGAGCAATCATAACCACCATTGCGATGAGAAGGGGTTGGCGAAGCGTTCGGTTCCCGAAGAGCTCACGGAGGGTTACTTTCTTGCTTATTTTGTTCTTTTCGGCTTCCTGAAATATGGACCGGACTATATAGACTCCTGCTACCCAAGGCACTTTTGAGAACCAGATGAAGTCTGTGAACGAGCTTGTCTGGGGTCAGGACCTGATTGATAGATAATACTCTTCCCGCATAACCAAAAAGTTGGGTAGGGAAGGCACTACAATCAAAAAATTAGTAGTAGATAGAGTCAAAGTCAAGTCAAAGTCAAATAATTTTAATTTCATAGGTAAGCATATTACACTTCAAATTGTCATACTGATTAAACTCTACTGCTCGTTTTTTTATAATGACGGGTCGAAGAAGACATGCGCCTGATAGTAAGCTACACGCCTGTCCATAACAGTTGCAGTGCCTTAAATCGCAGAGCTTTAAATCGCAAATATCTGAGGGACACTGTCACTGCGCTCGTCGCCCTGAGACACAAGTTGACAAATCCTATGTGTCTGTAATTTCACCAGCACCCTTAACCCTTCAAAACCGGAAAACAGTAATGCTGACATTACTGCTTGGCGGTAGAAATAGGTATGGTAGCAGTACTTCCCTGGATGAACTCTTTCACAAGGAGCTCTACTGTTCATTCGTACGTAAGGCAGATTCCCCTGAGAAGCATGGCAAGAAACTCTCGGGGTTGCTCTTTGTAAATATACGTTTCAATATATTTATCTTTACAATATTTAATTTAAAAATCTTAGCTCGAGAATAATTGAAAGAGCTAAACGGGCCACTACCACGGACTTTTGTTATTACAAGGGAAAAACAGCACTATGGTGAGGCTTCGTCCTTTACATCAACATATTAATGGACCAATAACTCAACTAATCTATACCTAAGTAACTCTGAAAATGGTCAACATTCCGTCTTACATCTCGTCGGTGCTGATGGATAGCCTAGAAGTAGTTTTATTATGTAAATGGCCTTGGATATCAAATAATTCCGCATTAATTTGAAAAATAAGAAGTCAGTTTTTTCCCTTGTAATATTATTTCAATTGTTTTTGTTTTTTAATAACGCACACACTCAACATAGCCCAGCATTAGGGAAACCCTGTGTCGCGGGTGCCATGGACACTGACATAGACAATCACAAATTACACCCAAACTTACGAGAGAAATAAATGTAGGCCATACAAATATTTCTCCCGACCCGGGAATCGATCCTGGGACCTCTGCGTGGCATTGTAACCGTTCGGCCACGGAGGCAGTAGGATCATGACCTGAAATTGTTTTCTGAACTTTGACAAATATACGTGTCAATAGATGGCATTGTGTGTCACAAAGTAATTTATAAATTAACGCTTCCTAATATGGGTAGACAGCGTTAATCCTAAACAAAATAGAAGAATAGCCGTCACTAGCCATAAAAATCTGTGAAATCAGCGCCATCTAGTTACAAAAGAATAACTATTTGGTACTCGTTGCGACATCTGGTGTACCAATAGGTACTAGATATGAACGGCGCATCGATCGGCGTACCGCCCATAGATATATATATCTATGGCCCCGCCGCCGCGTTTCAATCGGCGCGCCGTTCGAGCCATTAGATCAGGCGCTCCGATCTGACGCTTGTGCATGCTTCCGTAGTGAAAATGGCGACGCCAAAAATTGACATTTCTAAAATAAAACTTAGTGACTTTATATTCGAAGATGTTTTAATTAGAATATTAATTTGTCAATTTCTGATGTCGCCATTTTCTCTACGCATACACAATAGGAAGCGTGCGCGTGCGTACGATCGGAGCGCCTAATTGAACTGATAAAAATTTGATTACTATAGAAAATACGTTATTGTATTTTTTCTTTTGAAAAAGTAATTGTATAACGGTTTTTGTAAAAACAAACACCGTTATACAAATTCGTTCCAAGGTCGCGCTCGCGCTGCCGAAACGCCGCCGCCGCCGACACTTTTTCGTCGGCGCGCCGCCGCCGGAATATTATCGGCGCTCATATCTGATAGGTACTAAATACTCGACTACGTTGTCTTGTATCACGAGTAGCAGTCCTTTGAGTTATTGATACATGGCTACATTAACACACTCACCTGATGCATCTCCTCCATTTCGCCGTGAACAGCTACGTCACCTCGTAACCAGTTAAGAGCTGAAATATAAAACGTTTAACATGTAATAGCAAAATATAATAATCAGAAGTGGGATTATCGGAGTATCAACTAGAACTGTAGTCTTAACCTTTTAGGAGCTGCGGATCGCCAAGTTAGGTGGTCTTCGTGGCAGTTTAGCAGAGCAGGTAGGTTTCGGTGAAACGCTTTTGATGAATTGGAACCATAACCACATATAAGTATATAACCGGAAATAGAGACGAAATAAGGGCCATACATTCCTTCAATCTCGTTTGCACTGAAATATAGACAGCGCCAACAACTAACCTGTGTGTACGTCTCCGTATATTCCAAAAAATATTCTGTATTTATTGTAATAAAGATAATATCTCTAACAATGGTGGGCTGTTCTATTCGGTGGTGTGGAAAAAACAGCAAAACATCTAATTACAAAACACGGAATCACATTTCATCGGTAATTAAATATTAAATATGTAATTTTGATATTTTCGTCCATTATAGCAAAGCTCAAGTTAACTGGTCGATTTGAAGTGAAACAGTTGACGACACTCGTCAATTGTTTCGAACTCGGGCTGGCTAGTCAGAGCGCAGTTGTCCCAGTAATGATATAGCAGAATAGTTTTCAAACAAATAAATGACATTTCGTCTCTATTTCTGGTTATATACTCGATGTGACATGTCCATTTGTCGCGATTTGTCGTATATTATTTATTTATGTAATATAAATCCGTTGGTACATTTTATTCTTATTATTGTTGACATTAAATTGACAATGATACTAATTGAGTTTATTCAATTATTTTGATACATACTAAATTATAATTTCAAGCAAGAATAAAAATTTATGAGGTGCAAATTCAGAACGTATCCGAAGGTAAACTTTATGTTTGGATTAAAAAAACAGATGTTATAGATGTATAAGTTCAACTGTTTTTCTTTCATCTACCATTTTCCTCGCTACCCGACCAGGGTCTGACAAATTTTGTTTGAAAGTCATACACCCATCTCTGACGCTTTCACCGGGCCGTATATCACGGAGACCAGGTCGACTTGGATGTTGTACGTTGCGCTGGGCCGCTAAAGCGGTGACGTGAAAAGTTTTGTGTTTCGCTCGGAAGCAAAGTTGTTTTGCGTCTCGTGGCTTGAAACCTTCACTACGCTCAAGAATCTATTTTTGGATAAATCAATCTAGCTTCGTTTGCTTGCTCACGTTTTAATACAAGCACTCGCGTCAACAACTTTGCAGCCTTGCATAACAAATAACTATTAAATACTGGTTGATTATTAAAAATCAGAAGTGGGATCTGTGACTAAAGCTTACCTCTTTGAGCGTGTAGTTCTTGAGCCTTATTAAGTAATAAGTACTTTGGTGATTCAGGACATAGGGGTAACGTGACGCACTGGATAGCAGCAGGCACTGCAGTGAGGGCCAGAAGCCAAGGCCAACTGTGTGGAGTGCCTAGAACCGACTCCAGGCCGAGTATTTGAGATAGTAGTATAGTGATAGTTATAACTAGTTGGTAAACTGTGCCGATCTGTAAATGAAAAGGAAAACAACGTGTTATTATAAATAATTAACTGCGGCCCTATTGGTCTACAGATTTGCTTGATTTTTGATAATCATTACTGTCTCTCGATATGTTGTGTTTAGACAGGCCACAGAGCTATTTCCCACAGTTATCGAATGAAAGTTACCGAACGTCTTATTGTTTAGGCGCTCAACGCCAGTCTATTCCGAACATTTCTTAAGCTGAAAAGGCAAGAACTACCTTTTCGATTTAGTTATCACGGACAGCCCTTCATGCAGAGCGTCCTACTACAATAATCCGGCGAGGCCAACTACAGAGCGAAATACCGAGGACCTACACTCCCCAAAGTCCGAATGTAGACAATAATAAGGTTGCTGAATTTCCTGGAGGAGCTCGGGTAGCACGCAGTGGTGGATTTGCAGTCTTGGCCGCCCTAGGCCCTAGGCCATGTAGTCAGTACCAACCGTCCCTTTCTCAGCACTCATCGTATAGGTACTGGTACACTACTTACATGATGAATTTATTTTATTGCCAACTTTTATCAAAATCGATTCAGAAATTTGTTAACTATAATAACTGCACATTGTCTATTGGTGGAAACCGCATGAAAATCCGTTCAGTAGTTTTTAAGTTTATCGCGATCAAAAAGACAGATAGACGCGGTAGTGATAATATGTAGTGACGTAGGTAGTGATTGTATATTACATTATAGATATGTAACATATCTATATTTTGTACATAAAATGTAGGTATAACAATAATCTTCCTAAATCACGGAAGATTATTGTTATACGATGCGGTGCAGAGCGACCCGCCATAATGTGCCTTTAGAATGTTTAGGTACTTTGAGTTATTTCTTGCCATCATTAGTGAATTTTTTGACACGATTAGCCGCGCTAGATTCGGGCCTACTGGGCCTTAGAGCAAATCCGCCACTGGTGGCACGAGTAGAAGCCTGCACCCACCTCAGCAAAATCAGCGCACAGACGTCAAGTTGCTGACACCAGCCCTGCTGCCGGTCGTTGTTCTTTCAAGATATGTTGGATGTTTATCGCAAAGACACGATAAGGTTTGGTTAGGTTAGGTTAAGTTAGGTTTAAAAGAAAAAACATTTTCCTCTCAAAATTACTTTCGAGGTTAT